AGCGATAGCATTGTTCCCAAGCTCTTACGTTCCCTTTGTCCTTCCTAGTTTTATAGAATGTAAATTCACTTGCCAAAAATATTAGAGATTATAATGCTTTATATTTTAAAGATGAATGCAGTTTAACTCCCCCTAAAGCCCAAACTCCCCCCAGCCTGGGGCAGGGCCCACTGCACCCACAGGCATGTGAGGACGGCTCCCCGGGCCTGCGGCAGGACGGCGATGCTGATGACCCAGCCTGAAGCGTGGGCCGCAAATCTCACTCAGCGCAGGGGCCAGAGGGTGTGTGGTGGGCAGAAGGACTGCCGGCTCCAAGGACAGCTGAGGGTCACGATGCGCTTCCTGGGCTCTGTGTGCCTCACCTCCAGGGTCAGACATGAGGGGGGAAGCTGCCTACACCCGAGGCCCCCAGACAGCAGGGTCTCTTCCAGAGCCCAGAGTTAGCAGGGACTCAGGGCCAGTGGAGGTGGAGACAGAGGCAGCAGATCTCTCTGAGATGTGAGAAGGGGCTCTTCAGGCAGAGCTAGCCTGGAGCCTGCCCATCACAAGTGCCCAGTGGGACCTCAAGGGACATAAACCCAGGAGGGAGGGCCAGCTGGCCTCATAGCCAGACGCTTGTGCACATCTGGAACAGAACTGTGGCTGGGCCCAAGGAGTTCACATCTGTGCCCCGCAGGCGTAGGGAGATGGGCGGCAGCTTGGCCTGCGACCCCAGTGCCTATTTTTCCCTTCTACATCCTACTCAAAGGTTCCTTTCACAACAGTGCCAAACACCACCTGCCCACAACAACCTTGAGGCTGAGCAGGAACCCAGCTAGTGGCTGTGGGCGCCTCCATCTTCTGCCCAAAGCACAGGGGAGGAGAGGGCCAGAGAGCAGTCTCTTGCCACACTTGGGAGAACACACGGCGGGGGCGAGGCCAAGCAGAGAGGTTTAGAGAATGGCCCACCCAGAAGGGTGGGGACAACCAAAATCTGAGCCCCTCACCCACCCAGGAAGACAGGCAGGGGCCCACCTTGTTTCCCATGACAGGATTCTACCAAGGCTGACTGACTGATTAGTTTGTTCGGAACATTTCACAGCCACTGACCTAATCCAAATCTTGCTACAGTGCCCTGGCTGCCGTCTGCCAGGGGCCGCACGCCAGGTCCAGGCAACACTCTAGCAGCCACTGCACTCGGCTAGGAGCCTGAGGTCACCACGACCACCTGGCCCAAGTTACTGTCTAGTGGGGGCCCAGCAGCAGGGGCACAGATAAACCGTGAAAAGACCAGCTGGCTGCAGGCAATGTTGGGCTTGGGACAGGGTGGGAGCAGCTTGCCCACAGCCAGACCAGGGTTGGGGCAGGGCTGGCTCTGAGCAGCGGAGGGACTGCGGCCCCAGGGGAGCAGTGGAGATGCGGGACGGGCAGGCAGAGGACCTGGAACGGCGCTGGGGCAGGGGGGGGGGGCTTGGGCAGAGCCAGGGTGGCCGACCCAACACAAGGATCAGGCAGCTGCTGGGTCACTGGCCTAGAGGGACGCCAAGGGCAGGGCCGGCCAACCCGGACAGTGCAGATGCCCTGTCACAGGGATGGGATGCAGGGCTGCACTGGTCCTCACTGGTGTCTGCGCTCTCCAATTCCGGAAGACACCTCCTGTCCCATGCCAGCCATAACCAACCACCCCAGACACCTTCTTCTGGTTCATTCACTGCAGGAGCAGCCCTCTGGGGTCATGCTTCTGTCTGCTGTCCCACGCCCAGCCTAACAGGAGACCCAGCTGGCCCTGGGCTGGGAGGTCCATTGGCATGCTGAAACCGGCCCTGTGGCCAGGACCACGTGGGTCTGCAAGTGTGGCGTGTGCCCTGTGGGTGAGCAGCCACTCCAGTGCCTGTTTTTCTGGCCGGGGCAGCCTGCTCTCTGCCTCTCCCTGCTGCCGTCTCCTCAGAGGAGGTAAGCCTCAAGGCACCACACAGTGAGGAGGGAAAGCTCCTTGCAAGAACAGAACCAGGGCTCTGGAGCTGAGGGAGGGCGCGCTGAGAAGCTGAGCTACCGCAGGCACCAGGCCTCCCGGGCCAGCCGTGCACACCCAGGACCTGAAGGCACCCTCCTCTTCAGCAGAGGGCCGCGCCTTCCTCTGCCTGCCTGCCTGCCTGCCTGCCTGCCTTCCCTCCTTTCCTCCTTCCTTCCCTCCTTCCCTCCCTTCCTTCCTTCCTTCCCTCCCTCCTTCCTTCCTTCCCTTCTTCCTTCCCTCCTTCCTTCCCTCCCTCCTTCCTTCCCTCCCTCCCTTCTTCCCTCCTTCCTTCCCTCCCTCCCTCCTTCCCTCCTCCCCTCCCTCCCTCCTTCTCTCCCTCCTTCCTTCCTTCCTTCCTTCCTTCCTTCCTTCCTTCTTTCCTTCCTTCCTTCCTTCTTTTTCTGCAGGGCTAGGAACACAGAGCCTTGAGCACACCAGGAGAGCACTCTACCACGGAGCTGCATCCCACAGACCTGTACTGCTCCTTAACAACTTAAAATCCCCAGGGGACCACCAGTCACATGGAAGTCTCTCAAAGCCTGGATTTTGCTCCCTCTTGGAGCCAAAATCCACAACCTTGGCTCCTCTCCCCAGGGGAGCAGAGACACAATGACAGCTGACAGCGATGGCCCAAAGCTACAGAGCCAGTGGGAAGAGCGCACAGCAAAGCACCCTGTGTGGTGTGGCCACAGGGAAGGGCCATCTCTGGACGTGGGCAGACAGTGAGCGCAGCCCCCACTGCAGACCTGGGCATGTGGGTGGCGGGAGAGTGCCAGTGCCCACAAGGCTGCAGGGTAGGAGATGTGCTCCCCAATTTGAGCCCGGGCGAGTGACCTCACGTGACAGCGTCCCTCCTGCAGGAACAATGGCAGGTGATACACAGATCCCCTAGAATCCACACAGACGTTAAGCCACATAACCAATGCATGCGGGTGGCACTAGGGGTTGAACCCAGGGCTTGCACACTGAGCTATACCTCTAGATCTTTTTAAACTTGTTACTTCATTTGATTTTCTTTTTCTTTATCTTTTTGTATTTTTTAGGGAAGGGTCTACAGGGTGCTCAGGGTCTTACTACTAGATTGGACTCGTAGTGATTCGCCTGTTTACAGCCTCCCAAGAGCTGGGATTGTAGGCGCGCGCCACCAGGCACAGTCTCAATGGCTGTCGCGGTGCGCCCGCAGGGGCGGGGCTGTAATGGCAGGCCCGGGGATCACATCCCCATCCCAGTGTCCCCTGCGCCCCCTGTGCCTGCACCTCTGTGCCTGCTTGCAGGAGCTTTAATCCGCTGAGCTATTTGGTTGGCCCCCTGATTTTATTTTTCACGAGAGAGTCACTAAGACGCTAAGGGGCACGGCCTGGGCTCCACTTTTGCTCCTTGTGCCTCTGAGTGCTGGGACGGCAGGAATATACCACCATACCCAGCCCGGAGAAGTTTCCTTTTACTCTTCTAATCATAAAAGAAACTACAATTGGGAAAACAACAGAAGTGAAAAATGAGTGAGTAAAACCCACACTGCCCTCGTGTGGAGCAGCCCGTCTCCCCCGACACCCGCGGAGCTGGCCTCTGCTGGAGCAGCCCAGGTCCCAGCAGGGTGGGGGAAGGGAAGCCCCAGAGGCTGAGGAACCCGCCAAGGCTCCACTTCCTCAGAAGGCGCACAGGAGCCCGCGGCTGGCAGGCAGCCTGACCAAGCAGCCCTCCTCCGAGGTGAACAAAGACATACTGTGCCGAGGGGCCGAGGGTGCAGCTCACAGGGCCCTGCACTGACCTCCAGCAATGCAAAAGAGCAAGAAGAAAAGATGGTGTGCGACTGGGAAAGCCTCTCGGGTTTGTGCATTTCCTGGGAAAATGAATGCCTCCTCCCAGAAAGGAGAAGTCGGAACACAGGGCCAGGAAGTCTGAGCAGAACGTGAGCCCTGGCTTCCATCCCAGGCCGGCCAAGGCTGCCTGTTTCCCACTTAAGGAAGTTGCTCTGCTCCCAGCTTAAGGCCGATTAAGTGACAGGACCTTCCCCGCAATAACACAGGAAACATAATGCCTTTCACCATCGGCCTCCTCGTTCTTTACCAGGCTCTGGGATTAGCGCATATGTAATTCAACACGCACTCCTTGCGCTTCCCACGGCCGGCCTCTCCGCCAGGTGACAGTGGCCCTTTGTACGGCCAGGGACAGAGGTCGTGGGCAGCTGGAGACAACAGGAAGTTCCCAGAAGACCACACTCAGCTCCTCTGCTACTGAGTACCAGCCAAGAGCCTCAGCCCCGCGAGGGCCCGGCCCTGGGAGCTCTCGCTATCATTGGCCCTGGCACAGGAAGGAAAACAACACAGATGCCATCAAGAGACTTCAGCAACCCAGCTCCCAGAGGACAGACACAGGTGGGGACAACAGCAGCAAACTCCTGAGCACAAGGACTATAAAAAGGACCGCATTTGGGTGTTAAAGAAAAATCACTAAACAACAGATTACACCAACAGGGTCTTAAGTGGAATAAGACACATCTGGCTAGTTCCGTTTTCAATCAGTCTCACTAAAGAATCCCTGTGCACTAACTCATCTAAAGACAGACAGTTCTGGGTGTCATCACCCTGCGCGCTCAGCTCCCCCACTCTCTGCTCCTGAGGAGGAGCGCTGGTGGTGGAGTGTCTCACTCGGATTTCCAGAATTGCTCAAATTCAGCAAGAGCTTTGAAATCCTAACTGGCCGGTTTAAAAGCTGGTTGTACAAGGGAAGAGCAAGCATGTTCTAACTTGCTGCACCAGGCACACAGCAGTGTGCCTGGTGCCAGCTACTGGGGCGTTCTGTCGCCATTTCTCTGCCCAGCAGCTCCTGGGGCACACACCATGGCCACCAGAAAGCACCTCAAACCCACCCGATGGGATCCACCCTCGCGGGGACAGAGAAAGGCAAGCACGTATCTTTCGTGCAAGTGTCAGATAGCAAAGACAGTACCAAAGCTTGAAAATTTCATTAAAAATAATAAAAATATACATCGGAAATTGTGACTTACCCCCATCAGACACAGTTGCAGACTGAAAGAAAAGAGAGAGAGACATGAGTTAATAAGACCTCATGACAACCAGGACACAGCGCGCACCAATGGAGGCCAGCGGGACACAGTGGCCCAGACAGATCCGTGCAGGTGTCTGAGGAGCCAGAGGCTGAGTAAGCCAGCTCTCGGTTCCACGCCAGCCCCGCCCGCCCAGCCGCCGGCAAGGAGGAAGTTACCGTCATTTTCCTGTAAAAAGAATCCCAGGGAGTCTGACAGCAAAGCCCTGGGAAGAGCCCTGTGACTCAGGGACTGTGTGAGCCTGTGGGGTCCTGAAGTGTCCATTGGCCTGCAGCTGGCCGCAGGGCATGGACACCACACCAGCACTGCCCTACTCGGTGTCCACCCCACCCCCGACACTGGGAGGGGGCTCCAGGACTCCATGCTGGGCACAGGATGGCAGCCTCCAGAAGGGGGCAGGAGAGGTCAGCTGCTGAGGTGGTCCAGCATGGCACAGGGTCTGGGCACAGGAGAAGCACCCAGAACAGCGGCCACTGGCCACCTGGTCCTAGACCAGGACCAGAGGGACAGGGATCTGAAGAGCCAAGCCGAGGGAGGCAGGCATCCTAGGGGCACGGACAGAGGGCACCAGGGTCCCTGCAGAAGGAGAGGCACAGTAAGTCATGGGAGAAGCAGGCCTGTCCCTGGCAGCACGGGCCTGGTGCTGGGGTGGCACTTGGTGTCACATTAGCAGGGCCCGCACTGCCCTCGCATCTACAGCTCCTGCAGAGTACTGGGGTTGGCCTGCAGCCGCCTCTTAAGCCAGGACTATACGGGCAGACAGGGAACCAGTGGACAGAGGCCAGCCTATGAGGTCAGCCAGACACCCACCAGCCACCTCCTTCAGCCTGGCCACTCCCAAGCTATAAGGCCACTGGGGGCTAAGACTGCTCTGGTCAAAATGCAAACAACTGAGGCCCAGAGCATCCCCATGTCCCCCCAGAGGGAGGCGACAAGGGTAAGAAGCCACAGCCATGAGGTGCCACCCCTTCCTGGGGAGCCCGGTGTGTGTAAGGCGTGCAATGCCAGGAGTGTGTGCTCTCCCCGCGTCCTTGCCCTCCCAGGCTGACATCTGCCCCCCGCAGTGTCTTCTGCCGTCCTGACAGCTGCTGCTCCAAGTGACCCTTGGCTCAGCCAGCGCCCCACCCCGGCCACAGCGGCACTTGTCACGGGGTGCTCACTCCTCAGACCCTGCACACAGTGCCTGCCCATCACCACGAACATGCTCTTAATATACGACTGCTCTGAAAACGGAGAAGGAACCTGAGAGACGAGCAGCCAGGCACACAGCAGAGCCTGAAGCTCAAGTGCGGAAGTCCTGTCCAAGACCCGCCTAGCTCCCGGGAGCACCCCGGGTGAGAGCGAGTGTGCAGCAACAAACGGAGCACCGAACACCAGGACGCGGTGCAGAAGCAGCTGCGCGAGGCGAGCGGGCAGCGCGGGCCAGAGCCCACCGCCCACGCCGAGACTCAGCAGAGGCTCCGCAGGCAGGAGAGGCAAGGCGGACGGCACAGCCGCGGGGGACTACAGAGAGAGCGGCCCTCGGAGGCCAGGTCTCCACTGCACAGGAAGTACACGGATGGGGCTCGGGAGAGCCCTGGGCTGCGGCTGCACCTGGGGACCTGAAGGGGCTGCCACGTGCCAGCCAAGAGGAGTCCAGTTGCAAGTGCTCCTTCATGAAAACGTGTGCCACATACGCAGTCACCATGAAGCCTGGTGGGAAGGTCCCGTTCCCGATTTCTCGCATCCCAACCAGTGACAGGTGGGGATCAAGCTGAGCACGCCCAGTAGAGCGCCACACGTCCACCAAGTTCATGTGCTGTCAGAGGAGCAGGGGCAGCCTTTCCCACTGCAGTCAATTTACAAGGACATCATTTACTACTGCCAGCTGCCTGAGGTCCAGCCAGGTGACAGCTGCGTGTGCTCCCCGTGTGCGGCTCCCTGGTCAGCTGCACCTGGGACAAGGCCCTGGAAGGAAATCCCTAGCCAGGGGCTGCGTCCCCACAGCAGAGGATAACTGGTGCTGCCTCAGGGACAGGAGCAGCGAGGGGCTGAGCTGCGTGGGGGCTGGGAGACAGCACTGGTGGGGAGCACGCTGCTCACCAGGCACGGGGGGTCCCCCAGCTCTCCTGTCACCTGGGGATTGATGGCACGCCTAATTCTAAACAGACTGCCCTTTTCCTTGGCCAGGCTTGTGCTTTCTGAGCACACCCCGCTGACGGGGTGGAAGCAGCCCAAATGCCAAAGACTCAGAAACTCCCAGACACACCGTGGGCAGGACTCCGCAGGCACAAGTGGTGACTTTTTGAGTGTGACTTCCCTCACATGCACCTCCTGAGGAGGTGGCGGGACAGACCACGCTGCGGTGGCGGTGCACGCCCAGGCAGCACCCAAGAGCATGCCGCCCTCTTACGCTTCTCAGAAGCCCCAGCCAGCACTGTGTCACCCTGCTCAGGGACAGGTCAGCAGGGCCTGAGGGCTGGGACACGGGGACCCCAGAGAGTCTGCCTTCTGTTCGGGGAGGACCTTCTAAAGTTTTACCATCAATGCCAGGAGGCGCCGTCGGGGAGAAATAGCGTGGCCACAGCTGCTCAGCCTTTTAAGCGTTCGTAAAATGTGGCCACCCCCCTTTACACACAGACTGCCCACAAAGGAACCAAATGCTAGCAGCAGCCAACAGGCCTGGAGGGGGTGGCGGTGGCTCTCTTGAAGATCCCAGCTCTCTCTGTGACAGGAGGCAGCAACGGGCTGAAGGGCTGCAAGGCGCGCGCAGCGAGGGACCCGCTCCCCTGTGGCACTGTGACAGTGGTACAGAGGGGCCTGGGAGACCGTCCTGCAGAACCACCTCGTGCTGCAGCATCCCATCCTGGGTACCCAGCCAGAGGGATAAGGTCAGCATCTCTTAAGACAACAGGACACTGGCATTCACGGCAGCAAGCCACAGCCCTCGCAGTCGCCGGGGTGGAGCCAACTGTGCCCACTGACAGCTGGGTACCAGGTAAGGATGGCACAGTGCTCCATAACATGGTTGAGACAGGCAGCTCTGCCCATCAGTGACAACGTGGACAGTCCCTGAGCACACCGTGCTGGGTGACAGAAGCCAGACAGGTTAAGGCAAGCATGTCGATCTCCTCTGCACACAGAGCCTAGAACGTGAGCTCACAGAAGCAGAGTGGAGGGCAGGAGCGGAAAGGCCGTGGCAGGGGCTGGGGAGATAGCTCAGTAGAACAAAGCGCAGGGTCCTGAGTTCAATCCCTGGTACCACCAAAAAAAAAAAAAAAAAAAGAAAGAAAGAAATAAAGAAAGAAGGGCCATGGCCAGTTCCAAGTGGTGGAGGCGTTTGAGGCCTCTTGCACAGCCGGGGACTGCGGTTTGTGTCACCACGCCAGGCCCTAGTGCTGCGCGAGGGCAGCGTCTCTCCACACACCAGGCGGCACGCTTGGCCCTGCACCACTGTCCTGATTGTGGGAGCCATCGAGTCAGCATGGCAGGTCAGGGCCAGCGTTCATTAAAAATGAGACAAACTCGGGCATGGCGGCGCCAACCCATATTTCCAACATTCTGAAAGGCTGAGGCAGGACAATCACTAGTTTAAACCCAGCCTGAGCACTCTAGTGACTCAGCAAGACCCTGTTTCAAAATAATGACTGGGAGCATAGCTCAGTGCAGAGCCTCTAGACTCAATCCCCAGTACTAAAAGAAGTGGAAAAAAGACAAGAAAGTAAAGCCTGGGGCTGGGGAGCTAGCTCAGGGGCATAAGTGCTTGCCTGGTCAGCACAAGGTTCTAAGTTTGATCCCCAGTATAAAAAAGAGAGGCCTGGGCTGTTCTTAGCCCCCGCTTCCAAGCTGTGCATCTGTGCCCATGTGCACCTGCCCGAGCACTGTGTGGCGAGTACACGCCTGTGCGCACAGCCCCGTGCGCCAGGTCTCCAGGCTGCCCGAGCACTGTGTGGCGAGTACACGCCTGCGC